AATAACACAGTTAAAAAATGGGCAAAGGATATGAACAGGCACTTCACCAAAGAAGATATTCAGGCAGCTAACAGACACATGAAGAAATGCTCATGATCATTAGCCATTAGAGAGATGCAAATCAAAACTACAATGAGATACCACCTCACACCTACTAGAATGATACTGATTTAAAAAAAAAAAAACAAAAACAAATGTTGGCGAGGATGTGGGGAAATCAGAACCCTTATCCATTGCTGGTGGAAATGTAAAATGGAACAACCATTGTGGGAAACAGTATGGTGATACCTCAAAAAATTAAAAGTAGAACTACCATATGACCCAGCAGTTCCACTCCTAAGTGTATACCCTAGGGACCTAAAACTAGTGAAACCAACAGACATATATACACCTATGTTCATAGCAGCACTATTCACAGTAGCAAAAATGTGGAAACGACCTAAGTGTCCATCAACACATGAACAGATAAATAAAATGTGATGCATACATATGACAGAAAACTACTCAGAAATGAAGTCCTGATGCATGCTACAACATGGGTGAACCTTGAAGACATTATGCTGAGTGAAATAAGTCAATCACAAAAGGACAAATACTGTATGACCTCATTTATATGAAATGACAAGAATAGGTAATATTAAATATATGTAGTGGTTATTAGTTATTAGTGGTTACCTGGGGAAGGAGGGGAGAGGAAGAGAGGGAATCATCTTCTGGGAAGTAGTGAATTTCTGTCCGTGGTGATGGGAAAACTGCCACAGATTAAACGTAATAGTTACACAACTTAAGTAATATAACTAATATCACTAAGTTGTACACCAGAAAAAGAGCAAAATGGCAAATGTTGTGTTATATATAGTATTAAATCAGCAACCAAAATTTAAAAAGATACAGTTGCTGATACTACTTAGGTACAATCTCATGGGATTTGTTCTCTTGGTTCTAAAGCTTAGGGTCATGGCTTAGGGTCATGGGACTGCCCAGTTAATTGGCCTAACACTGTTTGTAGAGTTTCTGTTTTACCCCTCAGTTCATTGAGCAATGCCTGGGGTCTTAAAAGCTTTTGAGTATCCATCCAAGATACAGTAGTTGGTCTGTATTCACCTGGAGCAGCAGAGAAAGAAGGAGATCCAGGACTTGGAGAAGGAACTAGGCTTCAGGTGCCTCCTTTGCCATGAGACCAGAACTGGATGGTGCCTGGCTACCAATATTGAATGTTTTGATCAAGGACTCAATAGATGAATCCTTCTCAAAAAGGGGAAAATGTGGAACAGAATTTCAAATTTCTTATAGAACCTAGTCATACTTCACCTATTGAGTCTGGAGGCACCCCTGAACCTCGAACTGAAACTATCCCCTGAAGTCATCTTTAAACTAAACAACAGTTCAGCTGAATTAGTAAAGAATGATCACCTTGAGCACTGCACTCTTTTAAAGAATTATTTAGATGAGATAAAATTGACAACAGTAATTCTAAAACATAGATGTGTAGTTTAAGTCAATGGTGGTGAAATAATATGGGGAGAAATAGTGAGAATGATGACACAATGTGACGAATGTAACCAGTGTCATTGAATTGTACCTGTAGAAATTGTCGAATGGCTGTGTCTTAGTTATCTAGTGCTGCTATAGCAGAAATACCACACGTGGATGGCTTTAACAAACAGAAATTTATCCTCTCACAGAATAGGAGGCTAGAAGTCCAAATTCAGGGTGCCAGCTCTCTGATGGCCCTGGGGGGAAGGTCCTTGTCATCAATCTTCCTCTGGTCTAGGAGATTCTCAGCACAGGGACCC